ACACACACACACACACACACACACACACACACACACACACACACACACATACATACGCACACACATACACACACACACACACACACACACACACACACACACACACACACACACACACACACATACATACAGACATCTCTCTCTCTCTTTCTCTCTCCTCTCAAAGACACATGACTTATTACCTAGCGGATTGAAGAACGCCCTTGCGGTGAGAGCGTCCTTGCGGCCATCCCCGTCCATATCCACCCACTCCACCCGGTGGAAGAACCAGTCTCGCTTCTCGTCATCGCTAGAGATGTCCACCGGCGAACCTGATTATACAGTACCAGAGGGGAGGGTTTATGTGAAAGAAATATAACATCCAAATGGCGTACGGGTAGCGTGTTCGGCTCTGGGCCGAGAGGTCCCGGGTTCGAATCCTACCACCTATCTTATGCCCTTGGGAAAGGCATTTTACACGACTTTCCTCACTTCACTCAGGTGTACCTAGCTTCAGTTAGGGACGTCCCTCGGATAGGACGTTAAATGGAGGTCCCGTGTTTGGGGAGAGCCACACCTCACGCACGTTAAGGAACCCACCACACTTATCGAAAAGAGGAGGGGTCCTTCCCGGTGTGAGTGGTTCAAACCTTACAGTACTGTCTTATGTAGCTTGTACATGTAAGTACATGTACAAAACTGTTGTGTTACGCCTAAAGGTGTTTTACCGGTTATGCGAAACAAACAAACAAACAAAGCAAATCTTTGGGTGGCTGCAATACCTGTATCAAAATGACTAGGCAGTATCCGATCACAATTGGCTAGGCTAGGGGTGCGCTAAAGGAGTACATTTGCCTCACGTGGCACTACATTATCTTTGCACGTGGACCTACATTGTGCACGAGATGTCTCCTTCTTTACAAGCGACCTTTACACCTTAGATTTTGTTATCTGTAATGAACAAACATGTCCACCCTCACGGAGAATAGTATAGGCCGCACGTGCCATGCCATAAAATTACGAAGGATCATCATGATTTTCATGGACCTTTTAGAGGAGTGGTTGTGATGCAAAACCTCGGCGCTCTCAATCCCATACATGTACATAGCCCCGCCAAGCTTCGTCAAAGAATTGAATTGCGATATAAAAAGACAAAAATGCAAATATTTGACGGACATGCGTCCATATGGTTGTACTGCTTATAGACTTTAAGACTAGTCATGGACAGTCAATGATATCGGACTGTCCCTTAGCCTGGTTTAATACCATACCTATTAACTGCAAATATTTGCGGAAATTACGAAGAGGACACGGCAGCTAAAATATGTTCGGTAACCAGCTAATACGATTGAAAATAGATCAACCCACCTGCTTTCCCGGGCCAGCCATCGACCAGGAACAAACCACCGTCGGTTTTCGTCGGCAGGAAAAATCCAGCGGAAACACTGACCACACCAGCCTTACCGAACACGTCAACTGGAGATTCAGAAAGAACTCTTAGAATTAATTACATGTATTTGTACACGTAGTGAACTGTGCTCAAAACAA